CTCTCTCTCTCTCTCTCTCTCTCTCTCTCATCTCTCTCTCTNCCCCCTCCTCCTCGAACCCCCTCCTCCTCCCCCTCCTCCCCCCTCCTCGCCTCCTCGAACCCCCTCCTCCTCGACCCCTCCTCACGACCCCCTCCTCCTCGACCCCCTCCCCTCCTCGACCTCCTCCTCGACCCTCCTCCTCCTCCTCCTCGACCCTCCTCCTTCCCCCCCCTCCCTCCTCGACCCCCTCGACCCCCTCCTCCTCTCCCTCTCCTCCTCGACCCCCTCCTCCTCGACCTCCCTCCCCTCGCCCCCCCTCCTCCTCGACCTCCCTCCTCCTCTTCCGCCCCCCCTGCCTCCTCCTCCTCCTCGACCCCTCCTCCTCCTCGCCCCCCGTCCTCCTCGACCCCCCTCCTCCTCGACCCCCCTCCTCCTCGACCCCCTCCTCCTCCTCCTCCCTCGACCCACCCTCCTCCTCGACCCCCCTCCTTCTCGACCCCCTTCCCTCGACCCCCCTCCTCCTCTATCCCGCCTCGCTCCTTCTCCCCTCCTCCTCCTTCACCCCCCCTCCTCCTCTCCTCTACACCTTCCATTTCCTATGAATTTCCTCCAAGAAACTGTATCCAAGGGGATTTCGGGCAGAAAGGGAGAGCTTAGACCCATTCCAATCTTGAGTCAGAAAATACAGGGCTTCTCATAATGAGATTTTCGGCGATTTTTTGGGGATAAGTTGATTTCTTGTGAATTTCAGTTCAGTAATTTCTGAAGATGATTTTTTTTTTTTTTTATTGAATTGGTTATCAGTTTATTTACTTGTGGCCTTGTTTATCTCTATATTTATTCGGCAGTGAGTTGGAGAGAATGAAAAGAGGTTGAGGAGAAAGTATAATATTTTTTGTCGGATTATTACTGATATATGTGTGTGTGTGTGTGTGTTGGTTTGTGTGTGTGTGTGTGTGAGAGAGAGAGAGAGTGTGTGACTGTGTGTATGTGTGTGTGTGTGTGTGTGTGGTGTGTGTGTGTGTGTGTGAGAGAGAGAGAGAGTGTGTGACTGTGTGTATGTGTGTGTGTGTGTGTGTGTCTGCGTTTGTGTGTGGTGTGTGTGAGAGAGAGAGAAGAGTGTGTGAGTGTGTGTGTGTGTGTGTGTGTGTGTGTGTGTGTGTGTGTGTTGTGTGTGTGTGTGTGTGTGTGTGTGTGGTTGTGTGTGGTGTGTGTGTGTGTGTGTGTGTGGTGTGCGTATGTGCACATACAGAGACGTCTATATTATTTTTAGAATTTAAGTTTTCCTGATACATTCCGAGTGTTCCTTTCTTTCTTATATATCTAAACATATCAACTTATTTACTTATTCATTTTTTTTTCTTTTTTTTTTTTCATGAGCTTACGTTCATAAGATGACAATTTAACAAATATTTTGACTGATTTTTAAAAAACCTTCTTTAACAGTTTGTATCCTGAATTTGAGCTTTTAGCCAAGGAAAGAAAACTGGGAGAGACGCAGAGCTAGAATCATCATCAATATCATCCTTTTTAATTACCATCAATATTACTCTTATTACAAATACTCACATTATCAATAGGAAAATATATATTATCATATTTTTACACCATTTAATATTTCGTATTTTCTTTCGAATAAGCTCCACCATCGCCGTTCCAAAAATAAAATAATAAAAAAATGACTAGTTCTAAATAAGGTTCAATTCTCTCCGATCACCACTCGCTGGGACGGGTTTCATAAATAAATAAATAAAAGAATGAACATCTATATCTGTTCATTTGCTATCTATCCGTCTATCTATTATTCATGTATTTATTCATCTCCCTAACTCTATCTATATTTACTCATTTGCTATCATTCTATCTATTATTTATCCTTCTATCTATCTTCCTAAATCTATCAATATCTGTTTCTCCAGTATATACATAATTATAAAAACATTATATTCATATCTATACCTAAATTTATATCTATGTCTGATTCATTATCAACATCTATATCTATATGTATATTTGCATCGATATTAATATATTTCTCTCCATCGAATACCTATGTTGTATATCTTAAAAAAAACGTATAAATACATTATTTCAAAGATGCATACACATACGAACTATAACAGCTTTCCCTCGCAACAACAACAACACAACAACAACAATAACAACAACAATAACATAACAAGAACAGCCCATAATTGCAAGACAAGCAAACAACATAAACAAGAATAACCCAAAGACCAAGACACATCAAGAATATCTTTAATAACACAACAAGACAACGGAAACAACATAACAAGAAACAGGCTATAACAACAATATAACAACATAACAAGAATCACCTAATAACAACATAACAACAGCAACAACATAAGAAGAATCATCCAATAACAACAACATAGCAGTAACAAGATAACAAGAATCACCTAATAACAACATAACAACAACAACATACAAGAATCACCCAATAACAGCAAGATAACAACAGCAACACAACAAGAATCGTCCAATAACAACAACATAACAGGAACAACGTAACAAGACTCGCCTAATAACAAGATAACATCAGAACATAACAAGAAAAGGCCCATAACAACAAGGCAACAACATCGACCCAACAACAGCAAGAAAATAACAAGAATATCCTCCCTCCATAGCTCTTTATCTCTCTCTTTTTGCAGCATGTTTGCTTCGCTCCCTCAAAGAAGCTGCTGCTGGTTGCCATGACGACGAAAGGACGCTCAAGGCTTCGCTCCCATGCTTGACCTCGGGATTTTTCTTATTCTTCTTTCGTCTTCATTGTGTCTGTTTCTCTCTTTGTGTGTGGTTTCCCTTGACTACGTTCACCTCTTTCTTGCTCTCTGTCTGTCTGTCTGTCTCTCTCTCTCTCTACATCCGCCTCACTCTTGCTCTCTCTCTCTCTCTCTTCCGCTCACTCTCTCTCTCTCTCTCTTCTCTCTCTCTCTCTCTCTCTCTCTCTCTCTCTCTCTCTCTCTCTCTCTCTCTCTCTCTCTCTCTCTCTCTCCTCTCTCTCTCTCTCTCTCTCTCTCTCTCTCTCTCTCTCTATCTATCTATCTCACTCTGTCTATCTGTCTACCTATATATCCATCTAATCATCTATCTATCTATCTATCTATTTATCTATCTATCTTTCTGTCTATTTCTTTCTTATATTCCCTGTGAGAGCTAAAAAAAAAAAAAAAAGAGAGAGAGAGAGGAATAAAAAGAAACAAAGAAACAGACGATAAAAGAGAACCAACGGAGGCGAAAGAGGGGCAGAGAGGAGAGCGAGGATAAGCTCTACGCAAAATTTCGCTTTCTCACGCAAACTCTGAATCCACAGGCAAGGGAACACTTCACCCGAGCAGGATAAAGAGCGGCCTGACACACACCGCTCGAGGGTTTTGTAAATTTCGAAAAATAAACGAATTGAAAAAAAAATTGAGGAGGAGAATTCGTAGCTAAGTAGTCGAATATTTACGTATATGAATATGTGTATAGTGTATATATATATGCATACATATACATATTTATATATACATTTCATATATATACATATACAAACACACTCACACACACACAAACACACACACAACACACACACACACACAACACACACACACACACACACAACACACACACACACACACATATCACTATCTATCTGTCTACTACTACTATCCTCATCTCTCATCATCTATCTATCTCTCTATCTCTCTATCTATCTTCTATCTCTCTATCTTCTATCTATCTATCTATCTATCTCTAATATATATATTTATATATATATATATATATATATATATATATATATATATATATATATATATATATATATAATTTCATATGCACACTGTATTCTTATATGCCTGAATATCCAACATCAACAAAATATTATCTTTATAGCAAGAGGACTATCGTCAGTGTTGTCAATGCCATTATCACAAATGCTAATATTAATGTCATTTTTGGTATTCGTTTTAATGACATGATTAACGTCTATATCTTTGCCATTATCATCTTAGTATTTTCTTATTTTCTTTAAATCTTTCGGTTCTCTTACTCCCACTCATCCCCTTTTTTCATATTCTTTTTCTTCCTATTCTAATCTTCTAAATTTATACTTCTTTTCGATCTAATATCTATTATAATTTGTCCATTCTATCCTCTGCCTTTTTCTTCCTTCCTATTCCCCTTTTCTCCTTATCTACCTCCGACTCCTTATATCTCATCTATCATCCTTCCCGCTCTCTACTTCCCTTCCCTCTCCTCTCTCTCCCCTTCCTCACTTTCCTCTGTCCTATTCCCCTCCTCCTGTCCCCCTCTCCTTCTCTCCCGTCCTCCCTCCTCCTCCCCCTCTCTCCCCTCCCCTTCCCCCTTCTGCCCCCCTTCCCCTTCCCCTCCTCCCTCTCCCTCTTCCCCTTCCTTCCCTCTCCCCCCCCTCTATTCTCCCCCTCCTCCTCCCCCCTTCCCCTCTCCCTCTCCCCCCCTTCCTTTCCCCTCCTCTCTGTCCCCCCCCCTTCTCCTCCTCATTGCAAGAGCATGTTGCAGAATGCGAATTTCCAACTTGTCACTTGATAGACAGGTAATTTAACTTCTTTTTAACCTCGTGTCTTCTATGCTGCATGTCATTCCCTTGCCTTTGATGTCTCTTTCGGAGAAAATCGAGCCTTTACTTGACTCTCGAGCCATTTTTGAATTTCTTAAGTTCTCTGTGCAAGGAATGCATGTGCTTGTATGCCATATTCATAAAGGCATTGTTTATGAGTATGTCTATCTATC